ACCGAAGGGGCCACAACGAAACGAGGAGATGAAAGGAAAGCGAGCACTCTGTCCAAAGACCAGGACGGCTCAGGCGACGCATGAGCAGGCCGGAGGTGAAACAATGCACGAGACAGCTTGCGAAACGGCGCAGACGTAACATCGATACCGAAAGCAAGCTGAAGCGGCTCCGCCAGCGCCGCACGATACGAAGTGACAGTGTTAGGCATAAGATGACGGTCCTGAAACAACCACGAGAGGAAGGACAAGACCACCCGAACAGACAAGGAGCTAACACGACGAAGACGCAAAAAGAAACGGAAGGACCGCCAGGAAACTTCATACTGCCGCCGAGAAGAAGCCCACAGGTGGGACACCAACAAGGAGGCCACCTGATCACCATAGAGATGATGATAGACTCGAGTCAAAAAAACCATACGCGAAGACTCGAGGAGAAGATCGAACCAGCAACGTGACGTACCGGCCCGATCTGCTGAAAGAGGCGGAGCCGCGGGAAAACCCTCGGGTTCGGACACCGAGCAACCAGCGCCTGAAACCAAGGCTGCGCCGGCCACCAAGGGGCCAGAAGGACAACTCTCCCCCGGTAAGTCTCTAAGCGAGTCAGGACCTGGAGCAACAGCCGAACCGGGGGAAAGAGGTACAGGAACCCCCACCTCGACCAGTCTAGCCGAAAGGCATCGACCCCGACGGCCTCGCAATCGGGGAAGGGCGCCGCATAAACGAGAAGACGCCGCGACCACGCCGACGCGAAGAGGTCCACTTCGGGGCGCCCGAACGTCTGGCAAAGCCAACGGAAGGACTCGACGTCGACCGTCCACTCCGTGGAGAGGGGAACGAAGCGAGACAGGGCGTCGGCCAAGACGTTGGACACGCCCCGTACGTGAACCGCCAGGAGAGCCAAACCCCGAGAACTCAGCAGACGAGTCACCCGAAGCGACCAACCCCAAAGAGACAAGGACCGCATCGAACCCCCGCGGTTCAGGCAATGAACCACCGGAGAGCAGTCCGAATGGAGCCGAATCGTCGATCCGCGGGCCACCCGAATCCTCCCCAGAGCAAACCACACCGCCGCGAACTCCCGCACCGTACTGTGAGCTCGACGGAAGGACGGATCCCAACGCCCCTGGCCGGCCTGGTGAGCACTGGTCACAAAACCCCAGCCGAGAGACGACGCATCCGTGTACACATCGAGCGAGGGCTCGGGTAGGCGCCAAGGCACTGAACCCCGAAAAACCCGAAGAGGAAGCCGGTGACGCAGCAACCGACGCAAGTCCCCCGGGGGTCGAACTCTGCGATCGCGAGAGAGGCGGAAGGGGGAACCCCGAAGGAACCAGAACAGCCGTCGAAGCCAAACCCGACCCGGCGGGTAGACCACCATCGCGAAGTTCAGGCTCCCGCACAGCCCCTCGAGCAACCGCCGGGTGACCCGAGGGCCCTCCAGAAACAGACGAAGGCGGGACCGCAGCCGCAGGAGAGACTCCGGAGGGAGAGACAAGGAGGCGGTCCGAGAGTCCCACACGAGACCCAGCCAAGTCCGAACCTGAGAGGGAACCAGATGGGACTTCCTCCAGTTCACCAAGAACCCGAACCCGGCGAGCTGGGAAAGAACCAAATCCCTGGCTAGCAAGCAAGCTGACTGGCTGGGAGCCCAAACCAGCCAGTCATCGAGGTAGGCCAACACCCGAACACCTAGGAGACGCAAACGAGCCACCACAACCCGTGTAAGGCGTGTGAACACGCGAGGTGCCAGGTTCAACCCGAACGGGAGACAACGAAAGCGGTAACTCAGACGCCCCACTACAAAACCGAGCCAGTCCCTGAACCGCGGATGAATCGGGACATGCCAATAAGCGTCCCGGAGGTCCAGGGACACCATCCAAGCTCCCGGCTCCAAGAGGAGCCGAACCTGAGACAGCGTAGTCATCCGAAAGGAGGGGCAATGAACCCAGGGGTTCAGACGGGACAAGTCCAGAATGAACCGCAGGTCCGCGCAGTCCCGTTTCGGAACCGGAAACAGACGGGAAACCCATCTGAGGGACGACGTCGTTTCGACGACGCCCAAGCGTACCCACTCCAAGACGACTCGACAGAGCGCAGGGGAAGAAGCCTGCCCCGCCAGCCCCGACCCCCCCTTTCGACTAGGCTCGACCCCGACCTAGTTCGAAAGGTCGAGCCCTGGCACGACCTTTCCGGGAAGACCCACCCCGGGACCCCCGGAAAACCAACAAGTCCGACATCGGACGACAAGCCGCCGACGCAGCCTGAATAAACTGCGCCACGGCCGACTCCCCAAACAGGAGAGGACAAAAAGGTGAAGAACGCCTAAGAGCCAGAGCCCAAGCAGATTCCACGGAGGAACCCAGCACCGCCTGCCGACACGCGAGACGGGAAGCATAGAACAGGGAAACCGCATCCCGCAAAATCGGCGTGAACAGCTTCAACAAGGCAGCCGACGAACGCGCAGCCGAGGACAAGGTGCCAGACCCCGGGACGGACCCAAGCGTCCCCACATCCTCCACGAGCCAATCCGAAGACAGCTCCAGGAGGGAAAAGAACCGCAAGGCCGAACACAAAAGGCCCCGAGCGCGCAAGTCCTCCGCCACGAGCGCCGCCGAAAGGGAGGGAACCTGCACATGGAGCTGAATAACGCCCACATCGCGGGGAAGGGCAGGGGCAAACAAGCACTCATTCAGGTACTCAAGTTCACTCCCCAGGAAAACCTGAAGCACCGTGGAAGCCTCCCGCCACTCCAGCGTGCGGGAACGACAGAAGGAATGCCAGGAATCCAGACCAAACAAGGGGCAGTCTGCTAGCCAGGACGACTCCGGAACCTCGTAACGGAGCCAGAAAGGGAACGAAGTCCCAAACCTGAACGTGGACGGATCCATTTCCGAGGCATAATCCGGGTCACGCAGGAGGTAAGCTGCAAAGGCCGCTCGCACCACACCAGGTTGGATGCGATAAGCCGAAAACCTCCGGAAGGACGGAACCGACGTACCCGGGGGAACACGGAACCGAACCCGGGGAGGGGCCGACACCAAATCCAACTCGTACGCAGAGGGGGGGAAAGAAAACCCCACTCCTTGTAACAATAAGCCCCGCTCAGTGGGAAGAAAAACCCAGGCGGGGTCCAGCGGGGCCCAAGGCCCCCAAGTCAGCCCCTCCCCAGCCTCGAGGTCCGTCACCACAGGACCCGAGGCCGAGTCCTCTCCCCAAGCCCCGACCCCACAAGACAAGGACGGAGCAGCCGGAAAAGCTGGAGGAAGGGGGGCCCACTGGTCAGACCCTGAAGCTTCGGCCGGGAGACAAGACTCGAATGCCTCTGCCGCCCCCCCGGAAGGGGCAACCCCCGAAGCTGCCCGAGTCTCGAGATCAAGTAACCCCTGCTCCGACCCCAAAACCCTCAGACGCTTCGGGGCCGGAAGCAGGGGCGGGGGACCAGAACGAACAGAAGGGGAAGGACGAGGAGGTGCGGACTGAACCAGGATCGAAGCGACCCCCACCCCCAAGTCCGGGTCTCGAAAAGCAAAGCGGGGCAGCCCCGGGGCATCCGGGGAAGCAACCAACCGAGCGCGTTGCAACAGACGAAACCTAGACTGCAACGCACGTGCCGCCTGTACCCGAATAGAATCATCAGAGGATTGGGTAAATTGAGTCACAAGCAAGCAGCAACACTCACAGGACTCAGGGTCGAAAGTATCACCGACCCAACAGGCAGCGTGGCAGAGGCAAAAACAATGAGGGTCACCCTGAGACAAGGGGACCGAGCAACCCTCAAACTCGCACACAGCGAGTGGGGACTCCGGGGTCACATCCATCGGACCCACGCGCCCCCTAGGGGATTCCCAGGGTCCTGAGCGTTTACTTTAAGAGGACTCGCGCTCAGGTAGTCCCAGGCAGGGTGCTGCAAACCGGCGCCCAAAACTACCAAGCAAACTTCTAAAGCTGAACCCCAGGGACGTGTACACTCACGGGGACCTAGCAGGGGGCGCCACCGAGGAGAACAGTGGAAGGGCAAAAACAAACTGAATAAAATGACAGAACCCCCCACCAGGCAAAAACAAAAAGAAAACAAAACCCCGCAAGAGGACAGCGAACCCCAAGGAACAGAGCCGGCCGCGATGTCGGGAAATACAAGCTGAGCAGCACCCTGCGCCCCTACCAGTGCAAACTGCCTCTTACCTGCCGGTAACAAGGGAGAACAGAACACCCAAGAGCCCAACAGGCGGCCGAAAAACCGAAAGGTAAAACGGACCAGCAGAGGCAGACCCCGAGGAGCCTGTGGAAGGTGGCCCCAAGCCCCAAGGGCAGTACTTACAGGGCACCTAGGGAAGGCAGCCCTAGGCGCATGCAGCCCGAGTACTGAAGATAACTCCTGGCTCTCGCACCCACAAAACTAACACCACACTCAAAGCACAGTGCAGTAGCGACACCGGAGCCAGAGCACACGACCATCGCCTATAGCATCAGCCTCAAGAACTGAGGTGTGGGTAGCCGGCGCGGGGGGTCTGGGGCTCCCCCTTCCCCCTCCCGGGGAGGGGGGAGCTGCGCAGACAGCGGCGCGGCAGTGTGTGACGTCACACTAATTTGCTTGTTTTCGGTTGGGGAGTTCTATCCACTAGTTCGGTATTAGGTAGCAATTTTAACCAGAATAGGGGTTTGTTTTGGGGCGCTTACCTTTCTGGGTGCCTGTTCCGGTCGATGGCAGACATAGAATGCTTCCAACTACACGGGGGCTTCTATAGGCCATTGCTCCCCTTGCCTCTCTGAGGGGGCCCGGTTCTGGCCGTGGTCCCCGGTAGGCCTAAGAACTCCATACACATGACTGATGCCAAAGTCTGACATTAGCATATCAGCCTGGGATAGCTCCGGGGAGCCGACGGGGCTCCCCCAGAAAAAATATTTAACCAGTATATACATAAAGCATTACTATTCGTACCAATAAATTTTACTATGTATTACTGAATATGAAAAATACAATTAAAAAACATTCTTCGTAGTAAGGTGTAACACAGTTTATTGTTCGTACATCATAAAATTTCAAGAGTTGCAGAATGAGCTTCCTCAATAGCAAAATAATGGTAACATTTGTGTCTATTCATGTATTCTGTACAATCTTGCATTGGGTAGTTCTCATAAAAAGGGGGGGGGGGAATATCATTATTCCAGTTACATCCCAAAGGAAATGAAGTGAATTAAAGAGCAAAGTGTTTAATCCTGCTAATATCTCAAGAATAATCGCATTGCTAAACAATACTGTAGTACCGTACAGCAGACGAGTGTATGCATCCAAGCTATATTGTCCCAGGCTTACACACCTGCTTGATGGGGTTCTGGGAGTTGTTCTACTCCCAAGTCTGGCCCGAGGCCAGGCTTGACTTGAGAGAGTTTGTTTCATCAGGCTGTTGGACCAAGCTCTCACAAGTCATCACTGGATATATTTCCCAAAGAGAACTTTTCCTCCCACAGACACACACACATTGTACAGTCAAAGGTTATACAGTATTTGTTCTATCCACTCAATCTGATCCCGGCTCCTCCTCAGAGGCATTACTTGACTCGGCATCTGCATCCTCATCTTCCTCCTCCTCTTCCTCCTCAGATTCCTAGGTAAAAACAGCAAAAAGGGAAATGGTTGGTTAATTACAAAATTAGAGCCTAATAAAACAAAAAACAAAGTGCAAGTTTTGACTACAGTAACATGTCAAGAATATATTTATATAAACAACAGTAATAATTAGAACGGCACAAATGCTGCTTTAGTAACAAACCAAACAAAAATTTCACTCTTCACATACTATTAAATAATACTAGAAAATAATAATACATGTACTGTAACTGAGAAAATCAGAGTGAGCCATAAGGAGGATTCAAACTCATTTTGATAATGATAATACACAAACACAATAATGGCTTTTGGCTCCTGGGTACCAGAATGCTGTCTTGCTGGCCTGCCTGTGGTGGCAGCATCACTGCTTGTGGGTCTAGGGGGTCACCTGTTCCTCTGGCCTCCACATTTTGCCCTGAGCTATGGCTGGCAGACTTTCATGAGTTTTCCTTGCTTTTTTGCATTTCTTGTTTGTCTTTAGTGTCTTTGCCCTCAACTGTTTGGACTCCAGGTTTATTTATTTATTTGCCCCCTTCCTAATTTGGGCGAGTGTCCTGGGCTGGGTGGATGCATACCACCCACTTCCTACAGGGACGAAGTTACCAGCAATTTTCAACAGTCCCAGTTACAAATGGACTTCAGTTTAGTGTTAGTTGTTCCTGACCTCGGGTGCTTGCCCTGAATTACTGGTCCCTACGTCCAGTTTTTCTGCTTGTTGACTATCTGGTGTCCCTTCGAGGATTTTGGTATCGGTCAGCTGGTAGTCCGTGCTCACTTCCTTGCTGGGCCAATTTTTGCTGCTCTCATTAGCATTTTCTCCACAGTCGTGTTCAGGCTCAGGGCTTGCTTTGGGATGTCCACCTGTTGGCCTTTGGTGCTCCTCCAGTTTCACCACGTGTGTTTAGCGTGCTGCTGGTGCCCCTCTGCCATGTACTCGCATGAGACACAAATGCTAGTCTTCATTGCTGAAGCACCATTTTAAGTTAGATAAGGAAGCTACCGAGGAGGCTTGCCAGAATGTAATGCACTGAAATATCTATCATGGGCTCTCAGAAGCTCCTTGTCCTAGTTCTGTTCTCTTCTTTCCTACGGGGTGGGTTAACCCTTGAACAGTGGCTACAGCAAAATGGTCATTCCTGCCTATGCGCAATAAATAAATTACAAAATTTCACTATAGAATTATTAATTTGTATGCAAAATGTAAGAAAAGCACGAAAATACCTGAATATTAATCATTTCACTGGGTGGAGGCACTGTGGAAGGTTGTGTGGTGAGTGTGTCTGGCCCCGTCAACACCTAGTGCCCGACTTTGCTGACACTTCCCGTGTTATACTTGGGATGTTTCACCCATTATTTTATCACTTGTTTCTCTTTATTTACAAGAGTACGTGTGTTGCATAACTTGATAAATCACACAACACCTGGCAATGTTTCAATTGATGATTGGTTTACCTGGTATACAATGGTGTTAGGCTCTGGGCGATGACATATGGCCTAATCTCGCCATATGGGCAAGAGAATAGATTGAAACAAAGGCGTAAGCCACTAATGTGGCACCATATGAACATCAAGAACAATATCATGTAATTATGATGAAATTTTATACAATGACAGCATTCCCTTATTCACATCCATGACGATAACTGCATTCACCTAGTAACATAACCATGAAATGATAGCAGAATTTTTGTCACGAGTCCAGATAAACTCCATTACATCCAAAACCAGACAATAATGGTTTAAATCATCTTATGATGATAACCTCATTACCCGGTGAATCAACATGACGATAACCGCTGTCTAAGTGTTAAGTCTAGTTGGCTCATGACTGGTGGGGAGGGGAGGGTAGGCTGCCTACAAACTCGGGTGACCCAGGCTGCCAACTTGTGGTCATGCACATTACAATTAGTGCTTGTCACAATAATCGTGTGCCTCATTACCGCTGGATACCTCATGTTTTCAAGCAGCTACTTGGTGGGGTTTTCTTGGGTTTGGGATAACCTCTTGACTCAAAAGCTACTCTTAGAGTGGGCCAGATTCTGGTCCTTGTTCTTAACAGGCATGGGTAGTGCATCTCCCAAAGGTTTAGTCGGACTAACACTTATCATAGGGAGCTACTAAGGGGACCCCTAAGAATGGCGCAGCAGTTAAAACATTGAACAAAAATTAATTCATTGCTCTGGGCTAATCTCCGGTCATTAAATGCCTGCACTCCTCCTACTACTCTCATTCTCTTTCCAAATTTACCCAATTCAGATCTTTGTTATCACTATGTAGTCCCGGTTAAATGTAAACCCTCATTTTCTCATTAAGTTCTTTGACGAGAAAAGTTCTTTCATAGTCATGTTATATCACGACAATGATATATCACAACTATCATTTATAGTTGCAATATAAACACAACTGCCTATTTTGCCCCTCACGTGGATAAGTTTAGAAAGACAAGTTTCCCCCCATCCAAATCTTCCTTATCTAGATCTACCATGAATAATAATTAACAGTGAAAGACACTTGCTTTAAAAATATTGGAATCCTGTCCAACTGATACAATTTGTTTTAGATTCAAGCGCATCCAATCTACAATAATCTTTGTCCCGGTGGACTGCGGGATTTAAAATTATGAATCTGGTGATCCGTGAGCTCCAAAAGGTTAGCGACCGCTGGTTTAGAGCAATGCCAATCAAACTAAAATATCAGACAAAAGACCTTACCTCCTTCCCTTTTGTTTCCTTTACTTCTTTCTTTGATTTCTTTTTCAGCGGCTTATCTTCGTCACTTTCATCATCACTAGAGTCATCTTCAATGAATTCTTTAGATTTGAAGCCCCCACCTGAGCCGGCTTTGGTTGGTGAAATCGACACTGCTGCCTTCTTAGGGGACTTGCTAGGTGTTTTTGATGCAGGCGCTCCTCCACCGGATGCTTTATACTCCTTCATGGCTTGTTCGTACTCTCGCTTTGCCTCTCCTGCTTTCTTTTCCCATTCCTATTAAAAGCAAGAATTTTTTGTTTAAACATAATTTCAAGATGAACTTGAGTTTTTAAATAATGAACATCATTCAGGAAAGAACAGCGAGATAAAAATGTGCCCGAACAAAATTTATGTCTTGTAGGTTTATTACGTACTCGGCGATATGTAATATAAATAAAATTAGGATAGGATTTCGGGTTGAGCTACTAAGTTCATAAAATGAATGGTTTGAAATAAAAAAAAAATATTCCACATAACCTTAAAATAATCCCATGACATATCAATAGCCTGTCACACAACACACACAAATTTAGTTCTTCTGCATAATGTAAAATAAAATGTTAATTAAAATAAATAATTTTTTTTAGCAGAATTTACAGAAATTGGGGGCCACAATTTGACCAAGGTTCAACAGCTACTAACTTGGCCGTTGTTAGTTAGTTTAAAATCCTGACAAGCATTGTGCACTTGGTGTTATGCAGTGGTAGGCTGCTTCTGTGGTGGAATACTGCTGGAGTGTCAAACAACTTCCTTATCTTTTATGCTATATCATAAATAATATAACAATTGGACGAGTGATATTTGGGTTTTAATACCAGTCTCCTTTTACTATATTATTCAACTTTTTCCTTTAGGCTAATATCTCCAAACCCCAGAAAAATAGGGAAAAATTAAGTCTGTATAATTGCCTAAATTAGGCAATTAATGAAATATTTATATTTGAGTGAAATGTTTTATTTGTGTGAAGTAATGGGCAACTAATTTTAATGGGCTAATTTTGTAATGGATTCTAAATGAAATGATTCAGTAACCATAAAATCAAAGACAAAAACAAACATGAAAGTCATACTTACTGTTTTGTCTTCAAGAGCTCTCCATTTCTGTCCTGCCACCTTGGAAATTTCAGTGATTGAGATGCCTGGATTTTCTTTCTTAATCTGTTCTCTGTGTTCATTCAACCAAATGAAGTAGGCAGACTGAGGTCTCTTTGGCTTCTGGGAATCTTTCTCCTTTTTCGGCCGGCGCTTACGAGGCTTCTCGGAGACAGTCTTGGATTTTTGCTTCTGTCGAGGTGAAAATTTGGCTTGAAATATTATTCAAAGCACAAAAGTCTCAAATTTCAACAGAATACCATTCTACCAGTCTCACAAATATGTTTTCTTACTTTGCAATCTACTGCCACTCAACAGCTGTTATTGATAGTTGTCCATCAACAGGAGACCATCTTTACATGTGCTGATTATCAAGGTAGCCTTTTCTAACTCTCCCGTCATACAAATAAACACATTACTTTATCATATGCAGTATTTTAACAAAGAATACGTGGGCATTTAATATTACATTTGCTCTATAGATAAAACGCCATGGGAATCTAAATGAAAGCATAAAATAGTATTACTTGTGATAAAAGCAGAAGCGGAAGAACATGAAAGCCATTGAACATAATATCAACAGTGTGCCACCAGCACTGAGTCAAACCCTGATGCAGCTATCCTGCATCTGTCAAAAAGTTTGAGATTAGCAAACTATACTGTCTATGCGCTCGGTAATATGAACTATATAGGGCTTAAGTTTCCCCTTCGAGTTAGCCGAACATTTGAGTTACATGACTTTTTACTGGGAATAAGCAAAAATTAACACTCAAATTTATTCTGATTTCTTGTTTGGCACAAATTGCAGTAACCTAAATTTGTATTAAGAGTTTAAAAGTCAAGCTTACCTGATACTTATTTATTAGTTTTTAGTTCAGTGCAACTTTTTAACCCATAGGGTAAAATTTCCATTGGGGTTAAAAGATAAAAAGTGAAAAAAACTTGAACAGGAATTCATTCTTATTACTCATTTCAGGTTACCGGGACCCAAATTACCGCGCTCATATAGTGCAGTATCCATGATCACGTGCATGCCAGAATGAATGAAATCTATAGTTCTATACTGAGCACAAGGTGCAAAAAAATACATTTCACATACTTTATTTAGGTTGCCAGATCCTCCATCTGGTGGATCAAAGTCTGAAAGTCTACTTTCAAGTGTGGTCTAGAGCAGACACTTGCGAGATACTGTACCAACGCTCAGTGCGCTCAACTCACACCAAAGTATCACCTGTGTACTTCTGCATATTCGACCAAATATATATATAGTATCTTAGTGTCTGTGTTTATTTGTCACCATACTTTACGTAACAATAGAACCGTTACATTGGTTCTACATTACGTGTGAATGTAACAAGTAGCTAACTGGTAGTTAGGAGGGATAATTGGCTATCCTGGTGATTCCCTTCAATGCTCAAAAGGAGCACTGAGCGATAGTTTTGTTATTTTGTATTAAGGCAAGTGGTCGCTTTGGTGGGAGATAAAGTGTCTTTGCCCTTTACCTCCCTCCTAAACACTTGTTGAAACCATCTGCAAAGATCCTTGTCACTGTGGCACACAGACCAGTAAGAGCTTGGTGTGTATATAATGTCATGGATCAACCCTGGCCTGCCTCGGGGAATGACTGAGGGACCATTCAGTAATGGGCATTTCCTTTTAATGCTCAATTTGTTTTGTATCTAATTTAAACATGTATCCTCTACTTTTACCTATAACCAGAGTGATATTCTTCCTTGTATACCTTCACATACTCTTTGAAGCACTTACAATCAGTTAATACATACAGCTGTACGAACTTGCCTAACAGTGTGCATCGTGCTTTTAGAAATCTTGCTTATTTTACATGGCAACAAGTAGCCTGGAAAAAAAATATATATATACATGTACAAAATATGAATGACATATATACCTTTTCTTTCTTTTCTTTCTTTTTCTTCTCTCCATCCTCAGAGCCTCCCTCAGAGTCCCCACCAGAATCTGTACTGTCACCAGCATAACTGTCGTATCTGAAAATGAGAATAAAATGAGCACTTGGTGGTGCTAAAGTGGCGGGATGAGCACTTGGGTGGTGCTAAAGTGGCGGGATGAGCACTTGGGTGGTGCTAAAGTGGCGGGATGAGCACTTGGGTGGTGCTAAAGTGGCAGGATGAGCACTTGGGTGGTGCTAAAGTGGCGGGATGAGCACTTGGGTGGTGCTAAAGTGGCGGGATGAGCACTTGGGTGGTGCTAAAGTGGCGGGATGAGCACTTGGGTGGTGCTAAAGTGGCGGGATGAGCACTTGGGTGGTGCTAAAGTGGCGGGATGAGCACTTGGGTGGTGCTAAAGTGGCGGGATGAGCACTTGGGTGGTGCTAAAGTGGCGGGATGAGCACTAAAGTGGGGATGAGCACTTGGGTGGTGCTAAAGTGGCGGGATGAGCACTTGGGTGGTGCTAAAGTGGCGGGATGAGCACTTGGGTGGTGCTAAAGTGGCGGGATGAGCACTTGGGTGGTGCTAAAGTGGCGGGATGAGCACTTGGGTGGTGCTAAAGTGGCGGGATGAGCACTTGGGTGGTGCTAAAGTGGCGGGATGAGCACTTGGGTGGTGCTAAAGTGGCGGGATGAGCACTTGGGTGGTGCTAAAGTGGCGGGATGAGCACTTGGGTGGTGCTAAAGTGGCGGGATGAGCACTTGGGTGGTGCTAAAGTGGCAGGATGAGCACTTGGGTGGTGCTAAAGTGGCGGGATGAGCACTTGGGTGGTGCTAAAGTGGCGGGATGAGCACTTGGGTGGTGCTAAAGTGGCGGGATGAGCACTTGGGTGGTGCTAAAGTGGCGGGACACTATTAATCTAAGGTTTTGCAGGAATGTAGAAACCAAAGTAACATTAAATGTTACCTTCCATTAAAGCCCATAAACAGGGGCTTGAAACATTTGCACTACAATAACTCGCTCAGCATAACTTCGGGTGTGTTGCAGGTGGTGCGCCAGGCCATTTGACTTTATATTTATATATCCCTTTAGAGCATTCTATTGTGAACAATTTGATACCAAAATGAACGACGTAGCACGAAAATTGTGATAAGAACACTAAAAAGAGCATTTTAGTGTGGGTGTGCGCTCATGGGTATCGCTAAGCTGATTTTTGGGTTTGATGCAGAGGGCGCACTGGGCCTTTTGACCCTATATGCAAATATCCCTTTAGAGAATTCTATTGCGAATAGTTTGGTACCAAAATGAACGACACAGTATAAAAATTAAGGTTGAAAAGTGAAAAAAAAAAAGAGTAAACATTTTAGTGCGGGTGTGCGCTCACAGGAAACGCTCTGTCGACCTTGGGGTGTGCTGGGGGTCGAGCTCCGGGCTGGGCAGTGTTAAATTGTTACGAGACAATAAATGTTTATAATTCATTGTGTTGGGAGACAGGCAACTAGTGAATATATACATGTTAGGCTTAAATCGAAGCCCCCCCCCCCCCAACGTCGAATTACTGATCCTGCCAAGCACTGTAAGCCCTCAACAAGCTGGCTAACTCCTGGGTACCTATTTACAGCTAGGTGAACAGGAGCATTAGGTAATGCGCCCAGCCATTTCTGTTCCGCCTGAGATACAAACCCTGAAAGCTTAGTGTAGATGATCACAATGAATGTAGTGCCAAAGTTGATGAATTTTAAAACTATAAACTAATTAAAACACAAATTGAATTTATATTAATTAATGGACTGTATTTTCAAAATACAATCTTATGGCTAGAAAGATGACTATGGGACCATGAAAAAGACTGACGTTAGTGACTGTAGAATATTAAGACTAACATCTTATGTACAAGTACAGTACTGGAAAAAAAAACAAAATACAAGACTATTACAATGTATCATGAATAAGCATGTCTGAACTGTCAGAGGTAACGAATTACACTTGTATGATGAAGGCAGGTATACAGTCACTCCTAATTATTATAATTCAAGGGTAATAACCTGATGGTATTGGTGAACCAACAAAGATAACTGGCTCAATTGTAATCACTGCATCTGTATGAAAATTGACACACATGAAGTGTTAATAATTATCTAGTCACCCATAGAAAATTAACGTGCAAAGAAATTTAGTTTTCCACTAGCCAGAGAATGTGTTTCCTTTCAGGTAACCATGGTAAATAAAGTTTCTAATTGTAGCTTTATTTTCAGTGGGAAATTACAAGCACAAATCTGCATGTCACTTTTCCATTCTAAGAAACTTTTGTCTTAATACATGAACTTAAGAGAACACCTGTCCAGAGGGTTACAATAATCATAAAATTTAATTCCTCTTATTTTGAAGAAATATGCAACACTGTATTAACACAGCCTTTTTGACCTTCAGATTTTGCAGTTCATTCATGAAAACCAAACTTTGCTCTACTGATAACACAGCACTTACTCTTCTGCCACATCACTGCCTTCTTCACCAGGGGCAAAATCTTCATCTTCACTGGAGTCTTCTTCGTCGTCGTCATCGCGCTCTTTGGCTTCCTCACGCACTCGTCTCATGTAAGGATCAGGTTCATCAGCGTCACTGTCAGCAAAGTCATCCTTTCTACCTCCCATTTCCTGAAACAAATATATAGTAATGTTTTTATAATCAATCATCACAATTCACAAACTCGGTACTCTATTTGATAAATTTACGAAACATGAAGTAGAAATTTAGTAAAAAAGTCTAATAAATGTATTGTGCAGGATTTACTATAAAGTTCACAAATTTTTGCGCTCTTAGACATTTACAAAACATTCCTATATCATAGCATCTTTCAAACATTCCACATTGCCTTCTGCACCCCAAGATGCACTCTAGATACACACGTGTGAAGAAATTCTACACATTTATTCTCACTTGTCATTGTTAAGTGTGGAAATTTACTCATTTTGATCATGCATATAAAATAAAGAAATATATTATCTAGTATTATAACAAATAATAATGAATAAATATTACACGTATAGGTTATATTTTTCCCTGCTAAAATAGTTTTATTTATTTTTGCCTATGTATTGGTTCATGACGCCGCAGTGTGTCAGTGGTGGGCAGGTTTCTTTGTTTTTTCCTTGAGGGCTCTTGCCACACGGTTTTGCAGGCAGCCACAACCAGTCAGGAGATTCACAGTTAGTTGCAACCAGTCACAGGCAGTCCCAGTTAGTAAACAATGTAAGTGTGATCAGGCACGTGAGCAGTCTGCCTCATGAGCCACCAACCGATAGGAAGGGAACCAAGAATCATACCATTTTAATCCCCTCCAAACATTTAGATGCGGCTGGAGGAGTGGGGGATAGGTGGGAAGGATATAAGTGGGAAGGATATAGCTGGGAGGGTCAGAGGTCGGATGAGGGCAAAAGAGGTAGGGATAGAATGAAGAACTCAATCCTTTTTTCTACAAAGTGATAAGGGTAGGCAGGCATGTAATATGATACAAAAAAGCAAACCAACAAAATCGCTAGAAAAAGGGGTAGTGAAGAATAAGGAGAGAGATAACATGTTCCTGAAAATTATTGACCTGTGCAAGTGGATAGACTCAATATCTCCTCATAATAGTACCATGGAAATGATTCCTGCTGTGTTTACTAGTTGTGTTTTGCGGGGGTTGAGCTTTGCTCTTTCGGCCCGCCTCTCAACTGTCAATCAACTGTTTACTAACTACTATTTTTTTTTTTTCACACCACACACACACCCCAGGAAGCAGCCCGTGACAGCTGACTAACTCCCAGGTACCTATTTACTGCTAGGTAACAGGGGCACTTAGGGTGAAAGAAACTTTGCCCATTTGTTTCTGCCTCGTGCGGGAATCGAACCCGCGCCACAGAATTACGAGTCCTGCGCGCTATCCACCAGGCTACGAGGCCCCATGCTGTGTATAGTTTGCATTGTTCTTGTTGTGATGCTCTTAATTAACAAAGTCCAGCTCCCTGTGTATTATTATCTTAACTGAATAAACATATTAGTTAGACACTTTTCGCCATGATTTCCCAAAGTAATATCAAGTAATATCACGCACTGTTCTATTTAATTATTGGGTGCCAGCTCTCGGTTTTGAGACCCCAGAGCCTACTAACACTAAATAAAAAAATTTGGCGTGAGAACCACTTTGTTGTCATTTCTCTAGAATAGCATTCACACACTGGAGCAAGGCTGATGATCCAGTGATGGGATATACCTGAATGTTTGGCTGGAGATTGGTGTTGACACTACATTTCCACCTGAGAAATAGTCAACCTCAGCGGTTGCTCTCATATATAATTTGTCAATGATAGCCCGCAGAAAGACCACCATTGGGATTGGTGCTATTTCATGCAGTTGAAGTTGTTGCAGAAAATCATACCCTCACATGCCACAAGCACAGATAAAACTTGTTTAACTCCAAAAGATAGAAAAAAAGAGAAGGGTGAAAAACAGAAAAACAGCAAGGAGGAGGGTATTAGGAAGAAAAAAAAATTGACAAGAGGGAAGAAGAGAGAGAATTGATAGAGAAAGCAAGTGAGAGGATGTAATAGCAAAGGAACAATGATTTTCAACAGGAGAGAGCGGGGACCAGCCAATAGCACCAACATGCCTGCACGTCTGGAGGATCGTCATCGTTGACGTGACACAGCTTGGCAACTCCAGAATCTTTGCGTCTTATCTGAGTGATAGTACTGGGGGAGGGCTATGCTAGTGGTGTTCCCAATACCATCAATATACAGTACCGAGATCATCGATAAAAGGTGGACAGTGGCGATTGATGCAAAAAACCAGCGTTGAATGTAATGAAACGCCATTTTCTGGGTGAGACCCGGAGGCTCCCCGGAGCTTTACCGGCTGATATGCTAATGTCAGACTTTGGCATCAGTCATGTGTATGGAGTTCTAGGGCCTACCGGGGACCACGAGCCAGAACCTGGCCCCCTCAGAGAGGCAAGGGGAGCAATGGCCTATAGAAACCCCCGTGTGGTTGGAAGCATTCTATGTCTGCCATCGACCGGGTCAAGCATCCAGAAAGGTAAGCATTCCAAAACAAACCCCTATTCTGGTGAAAATTGCTACCTAAGCCGAACTAGTGAATAGAACTCTTCAACAGAAAACACGGAAACTAGTATGACGTCATACGTCACCGCGCCGCTGTCTGCGCAGCTCCCCTCCCCCCCCCGGGAGGGGGAAGGGGGAGCCCCAGACCCTCCACGCCGGCTATCCACCCATCAGTTCTGAGGCTGGATGTCAAAACACGCGAAAAACGCCGACCGGAGGGAGGGAGGGTTGCCGGGGAGCCTCCGGGTCTCACCAAGAAAATGGCGTTTCATTACATTCAACGCTGGTTTTCTGGGGGAGCCCCGTCGGCTCCCCGGAGCTAACTACCCACAGAGGAAGGTCAAAGGGACAAAACTGGGAAGCGGACACCACGCACCCCCCAAGGAGGCAAGACAACCGGCAGCAAACGCCAACCCAAGGCGCCACAGCCCCGAAAATCCCGGGAACAACACGAGAACCACGAGCAGCAAGGCCCCTGCACGAACACCAAAAATCCATGCCCGAAAGACCGCAAGGCCACGTCGCCCAGACGGCAGCGAGAGCAGCGAAGCCACGAACGCCACAGGCATGAGGGAAGAACACAGGCAGCTTAGCCACAAGAACACGGCTGACCACCCGGGACACCATCACCCGCGAACCGGGAAGAACAGAACCGGATCAACGCAAAACGCGCTCCGGACCCAAACGCCGTGGCACGCAAACAACAGCAGAGGGCCGCCACTGAACACAAAAACGACACACCCCCGGCCCGACCAACAAAGCACCAACAAACCCTGGACCCCTCCAGAATGCAGCAGCCCCACCCCGCGCCAGAAAAGATGGAGACTGCTGCCATCAAACAACCAAAACGCTAAAACCGAAGGAGCAAGAAAACACAGCGAACCGACCCCCAGAGGCAAAGGCCCAAAGGAAAGAGCCGACGAAAAAACACACCGGAACCGAAGGGGCACTACCAACCGAGGAGAAGACAGAGCACGCTGACCAGAGACCAGGATGGTGCAAGCGGCGCACGAACAGGCCGGAGGTGAAATGACGCACAAGACAGCTGACTAACGGTGCAGAAGCAACACCAAGACCGAAAGCAAGCTGAAGCGGCTCCGCCTGCGCCGCACGAAAAGAGGCGACAGTATGTGGCAAGACGACGGCCCCCAACCCCCACTAGAAAACCAAGCCGAGAGTAAACCAAGCCAACAAGAAGGACCCACCGAAGAAGGGACAGGAAAAGGAAGGACCGCCAAAATACCCCATACTGCCGCCAAGAAGCACGCAGGTGGGACACCTACCACGAAGCCACCCGACCACCAACCGGAGGCGAGACCACGAGGCAGAACATAAGCAGCCCCGACAAGGCCCCCCCGAGCCCAGGAAAAAGGCGGAGCCGCGAGAAGATCTCGGGCGCGACCACCGAAACCCAGGCGGCACAAGGAGATGGAACGTCTGCCGAACAGAAAAACTCCGAAGCATGCAAGCCCGCCAGGAGTTCAGAAACGACGGGTCCGACGCGAGACATCGCAAGAACCCCCCCAAAAAAATAAAACAACAACAACAACCGGCAGGGCAAGCTAGGAAAACCAAAGAAGGCGGAAGGGTCGCCGCCAGAACAGGACCCGAACCAAGGGGCCCGAACAACTGCAACAGACCGAAACAAAGAAGCACATCACAGGACACAGGCTGACCAACGCCTAAGAACACACGCAGAACATTCCTGCTGCAGAAGAGGCAGGAAGAAAGAGCAGAAGCACAAAAAAAAAAAAAAAACAGGAGAACAACCAGGGTGGACAATCAGGCAGGGACAAAAACCCCACGCAATCCCCAGGCACAAAACGGCAGCAAAGCGCCACTCCACAACCGGACACAGGAACAAGGACACGCCACCGTGAAACACGGTACCAATGCTCACGTGCAGCAGCAGCAGCAACAGGCACCACTGCAACATGCAACATGTAAATAGCAACTCCCCTCTGCAAAGGCAGAGAACGGAGCAGGCAGACCCCAGACAGGGCCAACGGAGACACGACAAAACCCTGCAGGCCCAGAAACCTGCACCAGGCGACCGACGGCGGAGAAACCCCGCTCGATACCTGCTGGATGAGGTACTGGGAGCTCTTTTACACCTCAAGCCCGGCCCAAGGTCAGGCCAGACCGGCCAGAGGATGGCCCACCAGGCAGCTGCTAGGAGCAGTCCACCGGCCCACATACCCCCACAACCAGGACGGGCCGGAACTGCCATACGAAAACAGGCCAGTGCGCCCTGGAAGTCCACGGACGAACCAGCAAGAAGGCTTATGCTCGCAAGTAGGTCGTGTAACAAGCACAGACCACTGATGGTAATACAGTGTTCCCCAAAAGTGCCAATAGCACCACTGCACTCCACTGGTACTATCCCGCAAGTTCTACCAGATAGGCGGGACCCAAGAGCCAGAGCTCAAATCCTGCAAGCACAGCCAGGAGCCTCACCAGGTGAGTACAGAACCAACCCTACAACCCCCACACCTCACAACATTAAAAAAGGAGGGTCCCCTGAACGACTGTAGCATGGGTTGGACATGCACAGGAGGGGGACAGGAAGGGGTGATAAAGGGACAGTCACTGGTGTGCGAACGGTCTCAGTCGTACAAAATTATACCTAAATAAAGACAGGTATATGAACACCGCCGCATCCAGCGCCCGGCCAAAAGACGCCAGACCGCAGAAACTCACCTGGCGAATGGTGGCTCGAACTTGACACGACTCAACCGTGCCCAGAAGAACTTGGGAGCACCGCCAGGTGAAGACGCCAGAGCCGGACCCGCAGGAGAACAGGGAGAGGCGAAGGAGGCGGTCCACACCCATGACACAGAAAACCGCGGTGTCCTCCCCACAACTGGGAACCAGGACACCCCTGGCGCAAAGGGGCACATACCGCAGCCAGGGAGAAGAACGAGAGGCGAAGCACTGTAGCAAAAAGGGCGCAAAACCCCAGCACTGAACCATCGCCCAGACCAAAACAAACTCCACGGCGCATGCGCATAACACGCTGGCCGAACCGCACACCCTCCCTGCGGGAAGGCGCCAGCCAGGACTATTGCACGAGAAAAAGAGCCAAAAGAGGAAGCAGGAACAAGAAAACCGGCCAAAGAAGCAAAGAGCCCAAAAAAAGGGAACCCAAACGGGCGACAAGTAGCCCAAACGGGCGACAAGTAGCCCAAACGGCCGACAAGTAGCCCAACCGGGCGACAAGTAGCCCAACCGGGCGACAAGTAGCCCAACAGGGCGACAAGTAGCCCAACAGGGCGACAAGTAGCCCAACAGGGCGACAAGTAGCCCAACAGGGCGACAAGTAGCCCAACAGGGCGACAAGTAGCCCAACAGGGCGACAAGTACTAGGAGCCGACAGACGTTCCAATAATGCGGGAAGTAGCGAAAAACCTTCCCGTACCCTCGAGAACACAGAAGCCAACACTAGTCCCGAAGGCACACGAAGGCGCAGGCGCACCCGAGATCAAAAGTCACGCAGAACCCCATCGAACGGGGAAACATGACAAAAACACCGTCCCAAAAAGCGGGGGAGGAAACATCCACCCACAGGACGGAACCAACCGACTCAAAGGCCAAGGAACCGAGCCCGGGAGGGGCCGACGTCCAACAGCACGTACGGCGAGTGGGGAGGAAAAACCCCACTCCGCGTAACCACAAGCCCCGCCTAGAGGGGGATAAAACCCCCCACGGGTCTAACGGGGCCAAGGCCCCCCAAGTCAGCCCCTCCCCAGCCCCGGGAACCTACACGACAGGCCCCGGGGCCGAGCCGTTCCCCCAAAGCCCCGGCCGTACCAGAAAACCGGGGCAGCCGTGAAAACACTAAGGAAGGGAGCCCACTGGCAGACTCATACAACACGGCTGGAGGAACAGGCCCAAATGCCCCCGTCACTACCCCGGAAGGGGAATTCCCCGAGACTGCCCGAGTCTCAACACCACCAAACACCCCGCCCTGAACCTACAGACGGTAAGGAACCGGATGCAGGCAGGAAGGGTGAACCAGGGGAAAAACGAAATACAACGGGGCAGCCCCGGGGCTCCCGGGGAGGAAACCACGAGAACGTTGCCACCACCAAGGCTCAAGTGCAACGCCCCTGCTGCCCGCACCCGCTTTGTTAGCACAACTGGGTAACCGAGCCACAACGAGCAACCAAACTCGCAGGACACCGGGTCGAAGGTGTCACCGACCCCACAGGCAGCAGACGGAGGCAAAACAGAGAGTCACCCAGAGACAAAAGGTGAGAGCAACCCTCAAACTCGCTGGAAGCGAGGGGGGGGCTCTGGGGTCACATCCATCGGACCCGCGCGCCCCCAGGGGTTTCCCAGGGTCCCGAGCGTTTACTTTAAGAGGACTCGCGCTCAGGTAATCCCAGGCAGGGTACTGCTAACCGGCACCCAAGCTACCAAACAACTTTCTAAGAGCTGAACCCCCGGGACGTGTACACTCACGGGGACCTAGCAGGGGGTACCACCAGAAATACTCAGAACACAAGGGACACAAGGGGCAAGAACGAAGGCAGACCCCCCCACCAGGTATATAAACAAAAGAAAAGAAAACCCCGCAAGAGGACAGCGTACCCAAGCGGAACAGAGCCGGCCGCTATGATTGGTAAAGACAAGCTGCACAGTACCCCGCGCCCCACCAGTGCAAACACTGCCCCTTACTCTAAGGCGAACAAGGGAGACAGAACACCCGAGCACACAAAGAGCGGCCGAAAACCAAGCGGTAAACGGCCAAGCAGGGGCAGGACCCAAGGAACTTGTGGAAGGTGGCCCCAAGCCCCAAGGGCAGTACTTACAGGGCACCTAGGGAAGGGAACCCTAGGCGCATGCAGCCCGAGTACTGAAGAATCACACCCGGCTCACGCACCACCTAGAAAACAGACACCACACTCTAGGTACAGTGCTGAAACAACCACTGGAGCCGGAGCACATAACCATTGCCTATAGCATCAGCCGAAGAACTGATGGGTGGATAGCCGGCGTGGGAGGTCTGGGGCTCCCCCTTCCCCCTCCCGGGGAGGGGGGAGCTGCGCAGACAGCGGCGCGGTGACGTATGACGTCATACTAGTTTCCGTGTTTTCTGTTGAAGAGTTCTATTCACTAGTTCGGCTTAGGTAGCAATTTTCACCAGAATAGGGGTTTGTTTTGGAATGCTTACCTTTCTGGATGCTTGACCCGGTCGATGGCAGACATAGAATGCTTCCAACCACACGGGGGTTTCTATAGGCCATTGCTCCCCTTGCCTCTCTGAGGGGGCCAGGTTCTGGCTCGTGGTCCCCGGTAGGCCCTAGAACTCCATACACATGACTGATGCCAAAGTCTGACATTAGCATATCAGCCGGTAAAGCTCCGGGGAGCCGACGGGGCTCCCCCCAGAAAATTTATATAACGAACCCAGAACCTCAGGACTACGAATCGAAAGTGCTGTCCACACAGCTGTCAGGCGCCCAATAATTTCTAAGTCTCGTGCGGTAAAGATATAAATTGGATTATAAGTGAACAAATCCACAAGGACTGTGATGAGGATTCAAACCTACGCACGGGATGTTCCCAGAAGCGCCTTAGTCAACTGTACCACAACATGGTACAGTTGTGTATTATGGTACATACACACAACTATTAAAAAAATAATAAATAAACTTACCATTTTGCCTCTATTCTTGATTCTCAATTTCTTCTGATTGACGTAATCAAACAAGCGATTGTATTCCCCTTTCTCAATACTGCTGAATGTATTGATGACTCCATTCTTAACTTCAACCTTTAACAAAATAAAAATAAAAATTATTTGAAAATAATGCATGAATGTGACACCTTATTAACACTTTCGCGCTTTCCGCAAAGGTCACTCAGCCAACCGAATGTGCGCGCTGCGTTTTTATCGCTTAAGCGTAAAAACAAAAATGTGTATACTCTTTTTACTCTTCTGACCTTAGTTCTCATGCTACGTATTTCATTTTGGTACCAACGTGTTCGCAATAAAATTCTCTAGAAGAACATTAGTAAAATAAGTCACGAAACATATAGGGATACCAGCACCAAATAAATAACTACGTAGATGACTCGCCGTGAGCGCCCATCAGCAATAAAATGTTTTTACTCTTGGGATTGTAATCACCTCCACACTTGTTCTACAGCGTTAATTTTGGTATAAATGGACTCGCAATGAAATTCCCAACACGGTGATATGAATATAAGCGTAGAATAATGATGCAGCCGGCCCGCAAGAGTGTGGGAAGTGGTGAAATTGTTACCCGGTATCGGTGACGGGATGACGCACGGCGCTTTGAAAGTTTATACTTATTTCACTCTCATGACATTAATTTTCTATGTACGTCATTCATTTTTATGTCAATGTGTTCGCAATAGAATGTTCTATGTGCCCATAGGTAAAAAATATCAACAAAGCGTAAGTTAGAATAGCGACAAATATAAAACAACGCTGGAACATATCAGTGAGCGTCAAACACACACGAAATATTTTTACTTTTGTTATGTTTGTCAAGATTATACTTGTTGCACACAGTTATTTTTGGTTGTATATTGATCGGAATAAAATTCCCTAAACAGACATATGCATATAATACATGATATGGGGAAGAATTACCAGTATAAACGGCTAAAGTCACCCACCTGCAACCCGTTTGGGACAAAATACCATTTGATCGAAGTTATCCACACCTTTCATGAACTTATTGTACGATGCAGCCTAGTGGTGAGAAAGAGAGCCTCATAGCGCGCAGTTTGAAACAAACCCAAAGTAAATCGGATAAAAATTGAATTTTATACAAATATTTTAAAAGTAGACATAACTTTATGTCCACTATGCGTTTACGTTAGACGAAACCGAACGCGCCGGCGCGTCCAGATAGCGCGAAAGTGTTAAGAACAATACCATACTTTCACATTCAAAAGCATACATTTTTGAGTAGTACACAATGTTTGCAACACCAATTTAATTACACAGTAATGCTTATTACAATATTAGGTTTCATCCTTCTCTAAATTAACCATAACCTGTACTTATAACACATTAACGGCAAAAAAAAAACAGCGTTGAATGTAATGAAACGCCATTTTCTGGACGAGACCCGGAGACTCCACGGAGCTATCCAGGCTGATATGTAACTATTAGCTTTCTGGCATCAGTCAAAGTGCATGGAGTTCTTGCCTACCAGGGACCACGAGCCAGAACCTGACCCCCTCAAAGAGGCAAGGGGAGCAATGACAAAGAAATCCCCGTGTGGTTGGGACCATTCTATGTCTGCCATTGACCCAGTCTGGTACCCAGAAAGATAGATGCCCCAAAACAAACCCCTATTCTGGTGAAAATATTGCTACCAAAAGCTGAACGAGTGGACAGAACTCCCCAACGAAAATTAGCAAACGGGCATGACATCACATTGCCGCGCTGCTGTCTGCGTAACTCCCCCGTCCCCGGGAGGGAAAAGGGGGAGCCCCAGACCCTCGTGCCGGTGATCCAACTGGCAGTTCTTAGACTGGATGTCAAAAACACGCAAAAACACCACTAACCAGAAGGAGGGAGGGAGGGATGCTGGGAAGCCTCCGGATCTCACCCAGAAAATGGAGTTTCATTACATTCAACGCTGGTTTTCTGGAGGGGAGCCCCATTGGCTTCTAGGAGCTAACTACCCAAAGACAAAGAAAAACACAGGGACTTACCGGAGGCAGTCAGTCCTCACTCCTCAAAGTGAAGTCGAGATAACTGGCTGCAACCGCCATCCCAATGAAAAGCAGGCCCAATCAGGTCCAAGGACATTTACAAGGTAGCGAGCGGCCAGGATCCTGTTCACCTCCAAAAACCCTGCGCCCAAATGTCAGCCCAAGACGGCAGCCTAAGCAGCAAACTTATGAAGGTCGTGGGCATGGGGATAGACTACAGGCTGGCTATACTTAACCCTTAAACTGCGCATGGCGTATATATACGCCCTGAGTAACATGTCCCATGGTGCGCATGGCGTATATATACGCCATAGGGTGCCAGGCCTCATTCAAATGGCCCGTGGCTACACGGGGTTCACAGTAGCTTCCTCAGGGCTCTTGTAAACAGATGCCATTTTAAAAAAAAATCGTGGGCAATATTCTCAGGTGTGAGAGGCACAGTACTGTTGGAGCAATCAAGGCCGGCGCACGCAGCATGAGCGAACAGCATTGCTGTTCAGCTTGTGACCACAGCATCGCCGAAAAATGTCAAAATAAATATATAATTGTTATTATTTAGCAATGACAATATTACAGATGACCCATGACAGTGAAATAAATAACCAGGGTTGTGATAATAGCAGGATTGTTGTAATAATTAGCGCTGTGGGAGGAGTGATGCTGAGAGATGGAGGGAGACAGCATCGTTTACTGACTGTGTGGCTAGCTGTTATTGTTTGCATTCACCATACCAGGTCAGTGGTTCTCTATGGTGAACACAAATGTAGATACTTATATATAATGTGTGTATTAGTGTAATAACAGCAAAAGGATTATGCTGGGAGGAGCCATATGGGTGACGGAGGTGGCGTCGTCTGCACGATTTGTCTAGCTGTTTAGAGGGTGACCACTATGCTCTTTGGGCGCACTACAAGCTTAGGTGTACAGTTACGGTGCATACAACATGTAGATACTTATATATAATATGTGTATATAGGGTAATAACACTGCAAACAGTATTGTTGGGGGTGAAAGTTTAGTGCATGTGACCTTGAATGAGTGAGGGAGCTGCCAGCCGCCATCTGTGTATAGCGACAACTCTTAGTGCCTGAACTAACTATATCAGCTTAGATGTACAGTTGTGGTGAACAAAATATATACATACTTATATATAACGTCTGTATATAGTGTAATAACACCACAAATGGTATTGTTGGGGGAGAAAGTTTAGTGCGTGTGTTGAGGGAGTGGCAGCGAGTGGCTGGCTGGTGTGTGGCGGTAACTCTTCGTTGCTTTTCGACTCTCAAAACCAACTTAGTGGTTCGTTATGGTGACCAAAACATGCAGATACTTATATATAACCTGTGTATAGAGTGTAATAGCAGCAAAACTATTTGTTTATCATTTTAAAAACATAATAATTGAATCACTAATATGCACATCATACTTTTGAGTATAGCGATTATTCACCACTTTTATTATATAAATATATTACAATACACACTATTGAATAATATTACTGCAAAAAAACTAAGAAAAAATCAATCGGAAACATTGAAACAATTAGGTAATATCTTTGTGGCAACTCCCATCTGTCAGCGCGGGTGACGCTGACCGGGTCTGACGACCACTGTCAACGCCCATTTTTTGCCAGACTTCCTCGGTCAATTGCGCCCAAAATATGTCACCTACGATTTTTTTTTTTTCCGTGCTCAGGGGATACAAATTAACATGTTTAGAAGACGAAAAAAAAATTTTGAATTTTTTTTTTCTTGCGCACAGGTGTGTAAATGTCCCAAGGACCCCTGAGCAGTGTAAGGGTTAACCCTGCAGACGACCTGAAAGACCCGAGCCCGGGAAAAGGGAAGGAGGGAAACCGGGTCAACCCAAAGAGTGTCCCCGGCACACAGGTAACGGAGGAGCGCTGTGACCAGACAACACATGATGCACCCCCGGCTTAACCAACCAAGCATCAACAACCCAAGAACCCCTCGGAAAGCAGCAGTCTCATTCTTCGCCAGAAAAGGAGACAGCTGAAAACGAACAAACCTACATCAGGACCAAAAGAGCAGAAGCCCCTGCACTGGAGGAGAGCATGAAGCTCCCCTACCCAACCCCAAGAGGCCAATGCCAACAGGGGAAAAAAAAAATCTATCTGTTCCTGGTACAACGAGGAACTGTGCTGTGTACCACGAACCGTTTCGTTAATTATCACTCGCTTCCAAAGCACTGAGTGTGTAATACAGTGTGTTACTGTGTAGATAATGGGTGAAACTGTACATACTGTAACTTTAGTGAATTTTGAACACGTAATATTACGACAAACACTTGTGGACACATTACTGACACATGTATCACAGATCCATGGAAACATTATGAATGTTCTGCTGTACACATATTGTAAAGGACACAAATATACATCATATACGATCAAAAAAAAACCTAATAAAATCGCATTGGAAATACATATAACAAATAATTGAAAATATATTTGTGACAACTCGTGGTGCTTGAATGGCCTGGGTGACCGCCTCTGGGAGCTTCACGCACAGACACACAACAAACACGCTTTCTTCTCCATGTCCCCACAGCCAAGTGGATTTTTTTTTTCCATGTACAGTACGTGTTCAGGGAAGGGAATTTATCCTTTCACGAAGATCAATTTTTTTTTATGAACACCTGATTTTATGCGCACAGGGATATTGTCACAAAGTCAGTGCATCACAGTGGTTAACCCTTAAAGTGCGCATCACGTCATATGACGTGTTGGAGTACTACGCAAGATTTAAACGACCCGCGGATACACGGGGTTCACTACACCTTCATAGGGTTCTTGTAAACAGACGCCATTTTAAAAAAAAATCGTGGGCCAAACTCCCTGGTGTTAGGGGCCTCAGTATTGAGTGAGCAACCAAGCCTGACGCACGCAGCATGAGCTAACAGCACTGCTGTTCAGCTTGTGACCACAGCACCTAAAAATGCCATAATATACTTGTTCATGCTATTATGTAGCGATGATATTATTACAGAAGATCCCTGACTGTGATAAAACTGACCAGGGTTCTGATAATAGCAGGATTGGGGTGATATTTAGCGCTGTGCGCCATGGAGGGAGGAGTAATGCTGTGGGAGGGAGGGTGGTGGCGATGTCTTCTGACTGTGTGTGGCCACCTTCTATTGACTGCACTCACCATACCAGCTTAGTGGTTCGCTATGGTGAACACAAATGTAGATACTTATATATAACGTGTGTATAGAAGGTATAAACAGCAAGAGAAGGTTGGGAGCCGCCATTTTGGTGAGGGCGGTGGCGTCGTCTGCACGACGCCACTGTGCAGACGACGGTGTTGTTTACTGGTTACCACGATGGTCTTTGGGCACCATACCAGTTTACTTGTACAAGTATGGTGAATAAAACAGGTAGATATTTATATATAAAGTGTGTATATAGCGTAATAACACCACAAACAGTATTGTTGGAGGAGAAATATTAGTGCGTCTGGCCTTGAGGGCGGCAGCCATCAGCTGACTGTGTGAAGTCCTACGCCTGTGCCTTTACTCACCATACAAGCTTAGATGTACAGTTATAGTGAACAAAACATGTAAATACTTATATATAACGTCTGTATATAAAAGCAAAAACAGTATGGTGGGTGGAGAATTGTGGCAAGTCAGGTGAGGTGAGGGAGGGAGGGAGTGGCAGCCAGTAGCAGGCTGCCACTGCCTGTCACTACCACTGCCACTCAGCATACCATCTTAGTGGCTCGTTATGGTGAACACGAATGTAGATACTTATATATAGCGTCTGTATATAGTGAATAAAAGCAAAAACAGTATTGTGGGAGGAGAATGTGGGCGAGTCAGATGACTTGAGAGAGGGCGTGAGTGGCTGGCTGGTACATGGCGGTCACTCCTCGTTACTTTTTGACTCATAATAGCTACTTAGTGGTTCGTTATGGTGAACAAAACATGCAGATACTTATATATAACCTGTGTATATAGTGTAATAACCGACAAAGTATTTGTTCACTGATTGATGAACATAATTGAATCAACAATATGCACACCATATTTTTGAGTACAGCGATGATTCCCTCATTTTATTATATAAATATATCAAACTACACACTATTGAATAATATTACAGCAAAAAAACTATGAAAAATCAATCAGACACATTGAAATAATCAGGTAATTATCTCTTTGTGGCAACTCCCGCCTGACAGCTGGCGATCAACAGACCGCCTGGGACGCAAGCTGAGTCAGCGCCTGATTTTTGCCAGACTTCTCCGCCCTATAGCGGGCAATATATGCCACTTACGATTTTTTTATTATTTTTCCCATGATCAGTGAACACAAATTAACAGGTTAGGAAGAAATTTTTTTTTTTTTCAAAATTACATGCGCCTGTGGGGAACAAAGGATATTATACCCCTAGCATGTTAAGGGTTAAGGAGAGATTGTGGTCAATGGATTCTAGTCTAATAATAAAAATAAATATACTTTAATAACTAACATATTAAATATACAATATTTCTTACCTCAAAATCAAAGGATCTTGTAGTAGAACCAGATCTTGCAAAGTTCACAGAGGAGATTTCATCAAATCTAATGTGAACAGGTGGTTTGTGTACATAGATGAGGCCTCGTTCTAGTGGATATAAATAGCCAGCAGCTGCCTTGTAAGAACAACTGATAGCAGGGGTGCCTGAATGTCTAGAGGAAAACAAGAGGACTTTGTCAGCAAAAAGACCAGCACTTCAATGTACAATACAAAAACATTCAACATCTATCCCAAACAATGAAGTAATACAATGAATTATATCCTTAACCATTTAAAGAACAGAGTATCAAGTATCTGTGCCGAGTAACCTTAACTACCATATAGTTAAACCCAGTCTCTTCATATATCTAGACTTCATATTTATACTGTATAACAAATTCTCTACAAGGACTAACAAATACTTGTTAAGGATTTTTCTATTTTTTAAATCTGAAAACACTCTAAATGGAAAATAATCCTAATTTGCAAATTTATCAATCAACGAATGTTTCATGTTAGTGCATTGATAGTGTTACTGGCTAAATAATCTAACCCACATACATGAAAAGAAAGCGACAACATTTCGGCCCATCTTGGACCCTTGTATGTTGTCCACAGGACAGACCGAAATGTTGTCATTTCCCTTTTATTTCATGTGTGTGGGTTGGATTATTTGTTTTAGCCACATTGTTAAATATTACCTGCATTACAGGTAAGTCAAGTAATTATTAAAGAGACTGTGCTGAGACCACAATGGCATGAATGACATCAAAGGTCAGATTCACAGAAGAGAGGGTTGAAATTAAATTTTTTGTTATCAGCTGAATTAATTGCATCAATTATGCAACTTTTTCACCCAAACTATTACCAAGAAAGGCCTACAAGCCAGCAGCTGCTCCATTACTGTGAACAATTATTTTCCATATGACACTGCACATACACGAGCCAGGACTAGCTAACAAAGCTTGTACATTTGACCTGTTCATAATTCTGCAACTCATATCTTAATTCACTTCGTTCTAGGCTTGCCAACCCTATCCACAATTCACTAATAGGAAGAAAATGCAGTAGCCAGTCAGTACTGTCTCTATATTCTCAACTGGTATGTTTAAGAAGAGTTATGTAAATTCTCACGTACAGCTGTTCTGCAACCATACGTGTACCGTTTGGTTTTGTGGTATTGCTAGGATGTATACGGGGTGTGACCAGGGGTATATGACCTACCAAATGCCATGATTTAATGTTACACAGTGACCAGTATCTAATTATGAAAGTTGGTAGACAAAGTGGTCCACGTTTAAGAAACACAGGAACTCATCAAACTTCATTAAAATTCCTAAAAAGCAGAAGTGGCCAATAATCGGAGATCAGTTTAAGCAGTTTTAGATGAATATATATATACACTGTATATGAGAAAATCTTTGGAGCCAAGTGGTGGAATTGAACCAGTGTCCTGGGTCACCCTTGATGCATGTCTTACCCATAGACCGTAATATGCAAATGTAACAACCTGGAGTCTTTCTGAACTCGCAAGGACTTTAAAGGCACCAAGCTGTTACCCAATGCAATTTGTACACGTTACCTACACACACATGCGGGTGTAGGTAATGTGGTTCTCCACCAAACACTCCTATCAAATACACACAGCAAAAATCACAATAATGTGATACAGTATATGTATCACACTGTAATTTCATTGTGAATACTGTACCATACATATAACAATATATGTATATTTCATGTATACAGATGCATACATTTTACTTTTAGCTTGGAACACTTACCCCATAAAATTTCCAGGTGTGACAATCTTACGGTTACATATTCCCCTGAACATTTTACTTATAAGTTCAAACTGCGGTCCACTTATCTCCTTTTCCAGGCGACCTTCATACTTTTCCTGAAGTTCTTCTCTGAAACACAGTACAATAGTGATTGTTAAAAAAGAATAATAATAATAATGAAGATTATATATAAAGTACTGATAATTAACCATCTTATATGTTTAGATGTGCATTTATGAGTAACTTAAGGACATATTTACAGTAATAAAGTTTACAAATCCTAATGATATAAACAGATGCAGCCATATGCATCAAGACTAAGGCAATTTCATATAGAGTATTGTACACGGTGTTTGTATAAAACTGAGCTCCTATTATTATAAAATCCACTGTTTATTTGACTTACTCTGTAAGAGGAAGTTCAAGAGTGTCCGTTTCATCTCCAGAGAACAGCAAAATTAAATACGGGTATCGAGTTTGGCCTTGCTTGATGGGTGGATCCAGGGAAACCTACCACAAAAAGAAATAGCTCATTGAAAACACAAAACACAGCCTAAACACAATTATAACACATTAAAAATGTAATTAAAGTGGCTGCTTGATTCACCAAAAACAGAATGTAAACAAAAAATGCTACTGTACTGAATTAGTACTGTATTTGGGTTTGGAGAAACTGATACTGTACTTAATAATTAACAAAAGCAATGCAGATACAGTGCATCCTCACTAACGTACCCTGCTCTAACGAATTCCCGGATGATCCAAACAAATTTAATTCAGTACTAAATGTTCAGTGGAACATACAAATGTTCGATTAAGAGAGGATTGTTCGCTCAAGCGGTCACCGAGATCGAGCATCGGAGGTGGCTGTCATCAACTATGATTCAGCAAAGTGTAAACAGTTGTACTTATTTCTAGGGGGAAATGGTTGAAGGATGATAAAATGGTGTCAGGGGAAGCAGGTGGTGTCTCATTGGTGAGGGTTAGAGTCAGGGGGCAAGTGGTAGAAGTTATTCTCGTTGGTGGCAGGTTGAGTTAAGTGTTGGAAGTTGTTGTCAGGAAAGACTGGTGTCAGTGGGGAAAAGACCGGTGGTGTCAGTGGTGGAAGTTGTTGTCAGAAAAGATCGGTGGTGTCAGTGGTGGAAGTTGTTGTCAGAAAAGACCGGTGGTGGAAGTTGTTGTCAGAAAAGACCGGTGGTGGAAGTTGTTGTCAGAAAAGACGGGTGGTGTCAGTGGTTGTCAGAAAAGACCAGTGGTGTCAGTGGTGGAAGTTGTTGTCAGAAAAGACCGGTGGTGGAAGTTGTTGTCAGAAAAGACGGGTGGTGTCAGTGGTTGTCAGAAAAGACGGTGGTGTCAGTGGTTGTCAGAAAAGACCAGTGGTGTCAGTGGTGGAAGTTGTTGTCAGGAAAGACTGGTGGTGTCAGTGGGGGAAGTTGTCAGAAGAGAGCAGTGGTGTCAAAGGTGGAAGTTGTTGTCAGAAAAAAATGTGGTGTCAGTGGTGGAAGTTGTCAGAAGAGATTAGTGGTGTCAATGGTGGAAGTTGTTGTCAGGTGGTGTCAGTGGTGGAAGTTGTCAGGAGGCATGTCGTGTCAGTTGTGTAAAATTATTGGGATCGTCTCAAAGCTCTCCAAATGTGCTCACTAGAAAGGAGATGAGTGATACCAAATAATATACAGTACATATGGAAAATACTGGAGGGTCAGGTCCCAAATCTACACAGTAAAATAACAATGTACTGGAGTGAACGATATGGACAAAAATGCAGAATAGAACCAGTGAGGAGCAGGGGTGCCATAGGCACAATTAGAGAACACTGTATAAACATCAAAGGTTCGCGGTTGTTCAACATCCTCCCAGCGAGTATAAGAAATATTGTGGGAACAACCGTCGACAACTTCAAGAGAAAACTAGATAGTTTTCTTCAAGAAGTGCTGGAGCAACCGGACTGTGGTGGATATGTGGGCCTGCGGGCTGCTCCAAGCAACAGCCTGGTGGACCAAGCTCTTGCAAGTCAAGCCTGGCCTCGGGCCGAGTTTGGGGAGTAGAAGAACTCCCAGAACCCCATCAAGCAGGTATCAAGCAGGGTAGGCAGGTAGTGACGGTGGTTTCAGGGAAGGCAGGTGGTGTCAATGGTGAAGTTGTCAGGAGAGGCAGGTTGCATTAGTAGGGAGTGTTAGGGAAAGTCTCAGTGGTGAGTAGAGATGCGTCCAGCACAAGGCTATCTTCTTGAGGTTATCTTGAGATGATTTCGGGGCTTTTTAGTGTCCCCACGGCCCGGTCCTCGACTAGGCCTCCCCCCCCCCCCCCAGGAAGCAGCCCGTGATAGCCGACTAACACCCAGGTACCTATTTTACTGTTAGGTAACAGGGGCATAGGGTGAAAGAAACTCTGCCCATTGTTTCTCGCTGGTGCCTGAGATCGAACCCAGGACCACAGGATCACAAGTCCAGTGTGCTGGCCGCTCGGCCGACCGGCTCCCTACTCCAGAGGCTGCTCTGCCTCTGATCAGCTGATGCACCACGTGGCTGGTGCCACCGCTGCTTCAATACTTCACTCACTCGTGGCTTTTCACAAAATTAGCTGAGAAAATTTTACCATTTCAGTTGTTTGTAACACATTGCTCTATCATATTCTGTAGTCGAAATGAATAATTCATAATAAATAGTGGTGTCAGTGGTGAGGGGATGTATGAAGGGGTTGGGGAGGCAGCTAGCCTCTACGCAGCCAACTTAAGTATTCATTAATAATGAGTACAAATAGTACTTAATAGATAGCACTGGTTTGGCCTGGCCTGAGACCTGATCTGGCCCAAGGGCTGGTCTAGCCTGCTTGATGGGGTTCTGGGAGTTCTACTCTCCAAGCCTGGCCTGACTTGTGAGAGCTTGATCCAACAGGCTGTTGCTTGGAGTGGCCCACAGGCCCACATATCCACCACAGCCCAGTTGGTCCGGCACTTCTTGAAGAAAATGATCTAGTTTTATCTTGATGTCGACGGCTGTTCCGGCAATATTTCTTATACTCGCTGGGAGGATGTTGAACAACCGTGGTGCTCTGATGTTTATACAGTGTTCTCTGATTGTGCCTATTGCACTCCTGCCACGGGTTCTATTCTGCATTTTCTTCCATGCTGTTCACTTCAATATGTTGTTATTTTACTGTGTAGATTTGGTACCTGGCCCTCCAGTATTTTCCAGGTGTATATTATTTGATATCTCTCTTATCTCCTTTCTAGTGAGTACATTTGGAGAGCTTTGAGAGCCGCCACCCCACCCCCTTTCCCTACTGCCGATCCGCTACAACCCTCCCCCCCTTTCTCCACACCTGACTACATGCAGCCGGCCACAACCCCCTCTCCCCGATAGCCCGCCAACCTCCTCCCCTACATCCTCTCATCAGTTTGCTGAAAATTCAGTGATTTCACTTGATTGGATTTAATAATGCTCATATATGTAACATTTGTATACCAAATAGTTTTTAAGTGATTATTTATCGCCATAATAAAAATGAAAAATTCATAATAAATGGAGTTTTATGAATATTTATACCAAGATTGATACAGTTGGCTTATGGAAATCCCGGCCATTACGTCATATTTGTGGCCTCCAATAATAGTCACATAGTTATGATTTTGATATGGAATTATTCACTAATGATGGTTTATCATGTGCTATGTTCAAAAAGATAAATACATAAATAGATTTTCTGTGATATTTGTTTCATTAAACATTTGTTTGTTAATAGTGGATGTAGGACTTCTGTTCTTTTCACGTGGAGGAGCAAGACAGCCTGGGGCCGACAGGTAGAATGAATCGGCCTTCCCCCCCATATAATTCATTGAAGTAAGGACACACTAATTCTTCTTGAAAAGCACATAAAAAAATAGTTTAGTATTTAATTCAAGACATGAGCTCAAGATGCCTGTAATGATGTTTCAATAGTAAATGTACTAATGTATGTGCAAGAAAATTCAATGTTCATGTCATTTGGTACAACCAAGTGACTGCTACCAGTGACTGGCTCCAAGACTGCCAGGAATTTTGGTGTACAGTATCACCATTTACCAGGTACTATGCTCAGATAAATAAGAGCGGATAACTAAATTCTTGCCTACCTGGGTAACATACGATAGAGAACATGTCATAATGCCAAAACAAGCCCACTAATACCTGTACTTCCACATGAGCTAAGAACTCAACTATTCAGAAGTACAGTATCACAACTTTTCCCTCTATTTACATTCCGGATACCTTTCTAAAAAAAAGTGAAATTAAACATTACCCAAAGCCTAGTTTCCCAAAATAGCTATTGGTATAATCATGTGAGGGTTGTCGAGGAGTGTGCACGCCCCTCTTGACATTCGCCAGAAAAAACATCTTTCTTTCTTCCTTGAACAACTTGCTGGCTTCAAACAATGGAGATCAAAGCAAATTTACACGAAGGGGTGCACCGGCCATCAAAACAACACATCATGCTACACTGATATTTGTAGCCCCAATACAATGCTTGCATTTGTGCAGTTACATCATAATTATGGCTTTTTAATTGCCATGTTTTTTAGACAAATTCTCTTACTAAAAATCTGCATACTTAAATTTAGAAAATATGGACACAAATCAAATGGATGGAATGTAAATCAAAGTGGTTGTTAAAGATTACTGGAGATAAACTGTAGTAACGTAAATACAGGAGTGACACTACAGTACTGTTCACCACCAATCTCCCTTAGTACTTTACTACCCCACCATTTTACAATGACATGCCTCTCACGTACAGTATTTTGGTATAATAATTGTATATTCGTATATTATATCATCCTTTTATTTTTGTATTCATTAATGCCAATGATAACCTGATACTCACAACAAAGAAGTGCTGCCGTTGATCTAGATGAGGCAACAGGAACAGACGCAAAACTGTCGTTACTGGGATCTTGAAATCAAATGTCTTACCATGCAGCTGGATGAAGCTTGGATACACTTTGATGTCATACCGACCTCTGCAAGAATTTCATACAATTTAAAATAATAATAAATTATAATGTGTGTACATCTGAGAAGCATTTGTGGTGTTAGGAGAATGCATGTCGTGTAAGGAATGAAAATGTCAATGTGATGTCTGAGGTGAAAGTTTATGAGGAGAGAATTAACCTATCGGTTTTACTGCTACGGCTCACTGCCTGCGTGTGGTGGTGCCCATTTATCCATGAGGCTTCACAGTATGAGCTATGAATAATACTAAATGGAAAGGACAAATTAAATTTGCATATTTATCTATAAGCATTCAACTATGTTATTCTTATTTTTCATCTCGGCTAATGCTTCCCAACCCCATAAGAGTGGGAATGGGATAATACAAGAATGAAGCCGGTATACAAAATATAACTTGCAGCCCCTATTTTTTTTTTAATTTAGAGAAACAGCAATTGCTTAATTCCTTAGGTTGTCCTAAAATGTTGTAAGTACAGTAATTACTTTTCCCTAGAGTACTCTGCCCAATGTGGCAAAGCCTTTCACTTTTCTTCAGAATTATGCAATGCATTTATAAAGGACTTTTGGAAATTACTAAATGGTGAAGTTTCTTATACTGTACTGTTTATCTAATACTAAAAGGCATGCCTTTCCTTCAGGTAGGACTCCCTCCATCCTACATGTGGCTCACCAACACACCATGGCAACATATATATTTTTGCTATTCATCACATTTCTCTTCTTACTGTATTTACATTTGTAATTGGAGCCCAAATCTTATCCAAAGGGTCTGGCTACGCCACACTTTGAGAGAATTATTTTACACAACTATTAGCATTTTCATAAGTGACATTCTTATTATTATACAGCAAAGTTTACAAAGTTTTTACACCAGTAAAAAGTGGTTTAAGCATTTTCTTTCATTGTTAACTAAAGTGTATTATGTTACATAACAGACAACATTTACAAAAATAAATTAGATAAACACAGTTGAATAATAATGCAGATACTGAGCAATAAATTTGCAGAAGTAAAACTATTGGGTTGACAATAATACAAATTTACATACTAAATATTCGGAATGGATAAAAGATGAATATTCCCAATCAAAAATCAATTACCTGAAATTTTTGCTGCGTGTATGTTTAAAAAAAAAAAGGACTTGTCAAACTTAAACAGGGTAATAATTGAAACCGACATTTACTGGAGCATTGCTTGATATCAGGGCACGTGTAAAAATGTTGGTGTAGCTATGCTTATACATTTTTGAGATGTCGATCAAGGTTCCCCACCTCTGATGTTGAGTTAGATGGTTCTAAATACTACCACGGGGCCGCAAGACATAATTATGGCAGGGAACATCCTTTTATCGGTAAACATAACTGAACATTTCAAGTTAATACACAAAGTTATCTTCTAGATATTGCACATAAAAATAAATGCAGAATACTGTAACAACCATAATCACTTCTATTGGAAATACCTTATTAAAATAATACAGCAGGCTGGGAATAGCTTAATAAAATAATACAGCAGGCTGGGAATATTTCACTAAAATAATACAGTAGGCAAGAAATCTACTTTTCCCATACCGTGGTGTGAGGCACTGGACTTCGCGGAAGATAGCAAGAGCATCCCCAGTTGCTGTGATAACCGAAGCCTTGGCCATAACCCGCTGCTGGAAGTTCTCAACTGGATCATCACCAGCTAATTCCGATGTTGGGATGTGAAAACGCATCTCCATCAAGTTTATGGCTGCATCATCATGCTGGAGAAAGACATCTCTCTCTTAGACTATAAGCATGAGAAGGCATTACTGAAGCCTAAATACATAAATATATTTGACAGTCAACAATGCAAGTAATTATCTGAAGTGATTTAACTTTAAAGATCATAGGAAAAAAATGAGTACTATATTATATAATGAAAAAGGAATATAATATCAAAATAAAAACCAATTACTGTAATGAGATACAATACATATGCAATATATATGCAGAGATGCATTTCCCGAGGTGCCAAAATAGACAGCGTTGTATTCTATTAAGAAACCTACAGAAAAATCCAGCATTGATTGTAATGAAATGTCTCCTTCAGATTAAGTCTTTGGTGACTTTCCAAGATAAACACATGGTTAGCTCCAAGCTTAACCCCTGGGCTGTGTAACTGTTAACCCTTAAACTGCGCAACGCACCTGCAGGTTCACGTCTGGTTTGCGCAACGCGCCTCCGGGTATTTGTATTTTTCACGTTCCATTCAAAACTCCCGCGGCTACATGGGGTTCACATCAGCTTCCTCAGGGCTCTTGTAAACAGACGCCATCTTTAAAAAAAATCGTGGTCCACATTCCCGGGTGTGGGAGCCTCAGTAGTGTGTGAGCAACCAAGGCTGGCGCTCGCAGCATGAGCGCACAGCACTGCTGTTCAGCATGTGACCACAGCATCGCCTAATAATGTCAAAATATATATATAACTTGTATTATTTAGCTATGATAGTGTTATATTAGAGCCTGAGTGTGATAATGACTGGGTACAATGTTCAAATATCAGTGATTCAATGCTGTTCACGATGTTCACAGCGCTAGCCACAGCACCACAGCATTATTTCGTTCATCTAGGAATCTTCAAATGATTTCTTAGGTTCCTTTTCAAAATAAACGTGTGGTCAATTATTCATTTACAGGAATTAGTGACCAGGATTGTGGTTATAATTAGCGTTGTGCGTAGTATTGTGGAAGGAGGAATTTTGATGAGGGAGGGAGGGCGAGAATTGAGGTAGCCTCATTGTGTGTGTGTGGCTGCCACTCTTGTTTTGCTCACCATACTAGCTTAGTGGTTCGCTATGGGCAACACATATGTACATGGGTATATATAGTGTGCGTATATAGTGTAAGAACAGCAACGAGAATGTTGAAAGGAGCTATTTTGGTGAGGGAGGTGACGTAATCGTAGCGTCGTCTGCTGTGTTATTTTTCATGCAGTGTATGGTGGCCATTGTACTGTTTGGACACAATATCGGCTTACTTGCATAGTTCTGGTAAATAAAACATGTAGATAGATATATAGAACATGTGTAATAAGAACTATAACAATATGGTGGGAGGAGCAATGTTGGCGAGTAAGATGTTGGAGTGAGGGAGACTGGCTGGGTGTGGGTTCTCACTCGAGGTGTTCTGAATGTATTCATGGCCAAATGCTCCTATTGGCCCATACGAGGCAGCTGCTGTTGGCCCATACGAGGCAGCTGCTGTTGGCCCATACGAGGCAGCTGCCGTTGGCCCATACGAGGCAGCTGCCGTTGGCCCATACGAGGCAGCTGCCGTTGGCCCATACGAGGCAGCTGCCGTTGGCCCATGCGAGGCAGCTGCCGTTGGCCCATGCGAGGCAGCTGCCGTTGGCCCATGCGAGGCAGCTGCCGTTGGCCCATGCGAGGCAGCTGCCGTTGGCCCATGCGAGGCAGCTGCCGTTGGCCCATGCGAGGCAGCTGCCGTTGGCCCATGCGAGGCAGCTGCCGTTGGCCCATGCGAGGCAGCTGCCGTTGGCCCATGCGAGGCAGCTGCCGTTGGCCCATGCGAGGCAGCTGCCGTTGGCCCATGCGAGGCAGCTGCCGTTGGCCCATGCGAGGCAGCTGCCGTTGGCCCATGCGAGGCAGCTGCCGTTGGCCCATGCGAGGCAGCTGCCGTTGGCCCATGCGAGGCAGCTGCCGTTGGCCCATGCGAGGCAGCTGCCGTTGGCCCATGCGAGGCAGCTGCCGTTGGCCCATGCGAGGCAGCTGCCGTTGGCCCATGCGAGGCAGCTGCCGTTGGCCCATGCGAGGCAGCTGCCGTTGGCCCATGCGAGGCAGCTGCCGTTGGCCCATGCGAGGCAGCTGCCGTTGGCCCATGCGAGGCAGCTGCCGTTGGCCCATGCGAGGCAGCTGCCGTTGGCCCATGCGAGGCAGCTGCCGTTGGCCCATGCGAGGCAGCTGCCGTTGGCCCATGCGAGGCAGCTGCCGTTGGCCCATGCGAGGCAGCTGCCGTTGGCCCATGCGAGGCAGCTGCCGTTGGCCCATGCGAGGCAGCTGCCGTTGGCCCATGCGAGGCAGCTGCCGTTGGCCCATGCGAGGCAGCTGCCGTTGGCCCATGCGAGGCAGCTGCCGTTGGCCCATGCGAGGCAGCTGCCGTTGGCCCATGCGAGGCAGCTGCCGTTGGCCCATGCGAGGCAGCTGCCGTTGGCCCATGCGAGGCAGCTGCCGTTGGCCCATGCGAGGCAGCTGCCGTTGGCCCATGCGAGGCAGCTGCCGTTGGCCCATGCGAGGCAGCTGCCGTTGGCCCATGCGAGGCAGCTGCCGTTGGCCCATGCGAGGCAGCTGCCGTTGGCCCATGCGAGGCAGCTGCTGTTGGCCCATACGAGGCAGCTGCTGTTGGCCCATGCGAGGCAGCTGCTGTTGGCCCATACGAGGCAGCTGCTGTTGGCCCATACGAGGCAGCTGCTATTGGCCCATACGAGGCAGCTGCTGTTGGCCCATACGAGGCAGCTGCTGTTGGCCCATACGAGGCAGCTGCTGTTGGCCCATACGAGGCAGCTGCTATTGGCCCATACGGGGCAGCTGCTATTTTGAGATATATATACAAGAGTTTACATTCTTGTACAGCCACTAGTACGCGTAGCGTTTCGGGCAGGTCCCTGGAATGCGATCCCCTGCCGCGAAGAATCGTTTTTTCATCCAAGTACACATTTTACTGTTGCGTTAAACAGAGGCTACAGTTAAGGAATTGCGCCCAGTAAATCCTCCCCGGCCAGGATACGAACCCATGACATAGCGCTCGCGGAACGCCAGGCGAGTGTCTTACCACTACACCACGGAGACTGTGCCCATACTATTGGCCCATACGGGGCAGCTGCTATTGGCCCATACGGGGCAGTTGCTATACAGTGGTACCTCGCATAACGATTGCCCCAAAAGACGAATATTTTGGGTAACGAACGGCCCGATCGGCGTCAAATTGTCCCGTATGACGAACGCTGGTTTGAGTGACGTCAACACCACATGGTGGGGTCGCGCTGCTTCTTGCACATTCTTAGACGCCTCCGACGATGCACATAAATTATGTTGTTCTTGTTTAAAGATGCTAATGATGCTGGGATATAAAAGGGTGACTGCTGAGATGTTGCAAAGCATTGACGTTTTTGTAGGAAAAAAGAAATGAAATGTCTGATATACAACAAATGTCAAAAAGGTTCGATCGGTGTTCGGCAGGTAGGCTGCTCCATTATAACAATCTTTCTTTGTTTCAAATGTGTTCCATTTGTTTTTTATTTGTCATTTACATCTCAATAATGGAGAAGCCTACCTTACATACACTGAATAAACCATTATGACATTTTCCTTTCTTCAAATGTGTTCAATATTTATTTTTCATTTGTCTTATAGCAAAAGGTTTGTTCAGTGGTCGGCAGGTAGGCTGCTCCATGTTTCTTACATACAAAAAACGTAAATAATAAAAAAAATGAAGAATTTTGAAAATCAGTACAAATGTCAAAAAGGTTCGTTCGGTGGTCTACAGGTCGGCTGCTCCATGTTTCTTAAAAAAAAAAAAAAAACGAAAAATAAAAGAACTGTTGAAACAATTTGAAAAATGGACAAATGTCATAAAGGTTCGTTCAGTGTTTGTCGGGTAGGCTGCTCCATTATTGAGACGTAAGTGACAAATACAAAACAAATGGAACACATTTGAAACAAAGAAAGATTGTCATCATGGAGCAGCCTACCCAACAAACACTGAACGAACCTTTTGCTATAACGAATATGAAAGACAAGGGCTGCTGGCTGGGTTAGTACTGCGTGAGCAACCATTTGTGGCACACGTGCCTCTGGCTCTCAAACACCTGTCCCACACGGTGTTGAAAGACTGTGCTCAGTCCGTGCAATTCAGACCCTATTGTTTGAAGAACATAAGGGTCATAACATTGGTGAAGCTAGGCGCAATAAGGGCTTAACACAACGGTCGGATGCCAGTGATACAGCACCTATGAGGATGATACAGCGAGCGTATCTAGGTGTAGCTCTGAGCCCCACCCTTGCCATCTCTAATGTATATAGATGATACATAGATGAATCGTTTTCTGCGTTCAGTGATGATGCATCTGATACAAGTAGCATAAATGAAGTGTTAGCAGCTTCCATGGTGGTGGTGTTCATTGATATTTTCAAGAATACCTGAATCTCTTCCTGACTGATGGACACTCTTTGAGGCTAGCTGAATCTCTTCCTGACTGATGGACACTCTTTGAGGCTAGCTGAATCTCTTCCTATGTGGGACCTTACATAGCGATCTTTTCAAGACTACCTTACAAATTGAGCTTTTCCTATAATCGTTTCAATACTACTTTATGCTTTACAAGCTTGGCTACATACCACCTACAAGTACTAAAGCCAAGGGTGCACGCGAGTGCGTTATTTGCAAGCACACAAAACGATGAAACAGGAAACGAAAATCTATCTGTAGCTGGTGTAAGGAGAGCAAAGCCGCGCTGTGTACCATGGACTACTTCGTTGACTATTACACACCTCCAAAGTACTGAGTGTGTAATACAGTGTGTTACTGTGTAAATAGTGTGTGAAACTGTACATATTGTAATTTTAGTGAATTTTTACCACGTAATATTGTGACAATAAACATTTATTGTGGACACATTACTGACACATGTATCACAGTTTCATGGAAAATTATGAACATTCTACTGTATACATATTGTAAAGGTCACAAATATGCATCATATACTATAA